TTCAAAGGTTTCATTCAAGTTTTTACTATATGAAGTTGAACACAAAATTACTGTAACCATTCATATTTTAAAATATTAAATTAAAATTGTGATATATAGTATATACAGATATATATTTCTCTCTCTCACTCACTCTCACACACACACTAGTTTATCTTTTTATATTTCTCTCTCTCACTCACACACACACACACACACACACACACACACACGTTTATCTTTTTAACCTAAAGCTACATTTTAATTGCAAAAGCTTTATTTTGAAAGCTGATCATTACACTATAGTTCCACCAGATGAAGGCCATCATACATTCATACATCAACACCACTGCTTGAAAATATGCCATCCAAGGACAAACATTACATTAACTTAATGTTGTCAAACCATTTATATCAACGTAACCTAATTTATTACGTTTACATTAAATATTTATTTTGCGATTTAACACCGTGGAAAATGATGGCGATAATGAATAATCAACTAATTCTAATTCTGTGAGGTGGCGCAGTAGGTAGAGCTGACGCCTCATAGCAAGAAGGATGCTGGTTCGAGTCCCGACTTGGTCAGTAAAAGACTAAAACATTAGTCACTAAAATAGTCTGTTGTGTATGTGTGTGAATGAGAGTGTATGGGTGTTTCCTGGTGATGGGTTGCAGCTGGAAGGGCATCCGCTGTGCAAAACATATTCTGGATAAGTTGGCGGTTCATTCCGCGATGGCAACCTCAGAATAATAAAGCGATTAAGCCGAAAAACTAAATGAATGAACGAATGAATGTTTGTTTAATAAGCATTGCTAATCAATAAACTTTTACAAATTTAAAGGTGATTTGATCAATATTTAGTTTGTATAACCTAAGATGCCAGATTTTCAAATAGTCACATCTCAGCCAAATATTGTCCCATCCCTACAAACCACACATCAATAGAAAGCTTTTGTATTCACATATTAATCGATCACATATACATCTCAACTGCTTTTGTAGTCCAGGGTCAAATTACTCAAACATAAAGCAGATTCAACACCATAACATACACTGAAAAAAATGCTATTTAAAGTAAGTTAAACCAACACAATTCTTGAGGGCTCATCTTAATTGTTTTTCAAGTTAAATCCACTTAAAGTTGTAAAAACGTTTACGCTAACTTCATTTGTGTTGGGACAACGTGAAGGAATTGTGTTGAACCCAGCATTTTTTCAGTGTATAAATACAGATATCAACATTAGCAATCTATTAACACAGCCAATGCGCTGCCAAATCATGAACACGAGCCTAAGAAGAACAAACTATTAGGAGAACGACTCGTTTTGTAAAGCTGTGAGATCACATTGAAAGAGCCAAAAATATTGTTTCGAGTCTAAATTAAGAATGTTTCTTTATGCCAAAAATCAGAATATGTAACAGTAGCGCGCTCTTCATCATCATCATCATTTCTGTGAGATTTATTTATTTATAAAGTATTATACACGCCGCGGTGCAGTCCAAAAAGTTGAACGGACACCTTCATAGGGTTTCCTGGGCTTTTTAATACTTTTTTTTGTTTACCTCGGGGTGGGGTTGAGTTTTGTACAGGCATCTTGACATGACAAAAAAGCTGGTGAGCTTTTCCTCAGGGGTAAGTCGTCATAAGACATTGTTATTCACTGACAGAGGAAATTCTTCTGCAGTAACTACCGAATTACCCCCAGTAGATTTATTCAAGTACTTTATATTCAGAATAATACGGTATATTCATGTTGGCTTAATAGCTTCCAGCTAAATCTTTTGTAGCAACAGGCAACTTTACTTAAGAAAAAAAGCTAAAGTTAGTGAGATTTACCTTCAGTGTAGGTCGTCGTAAGACATTGTTATTCACTGACAGAGAAAATACTTATTTTTTTGACATGAAGCGGTTTCAAAAAGTATAAAGAATTGTGTTGATACAGCTCGTTTTAAATAGGTAACAAGTAGCAACAAATAAATTACCCCAGCAGATTAATCCAAGTACTGTACTATAGTAGGCTAAATTACATTTCATGTTGGCTCTTCAGCTAAATCTTACAGCAAGACCACCAATAGTTTTGTACAGGCATCTTTACTTGACAAAAAACAAGTATCGATTTACCCCACCAGATTAATATCGAATTTAAATCACACATAGAAGTAAAAAGGTAACGTCTGATAATGTTACAGCTCGACGTTGTGTGGACGTTACCACTATGACGTCTCAGACGTTGGATTTTGTTTGACATGATGACTGTATTTGATGTCAAAATGATGTTGGTTTAAGATGTTGGCTTGACGTTGGATTTTGGTCACTTTCTAAAACAACCTAAAATCAACCAAATATCAACGTCATTTGATGTTGTTATTGGACATCAAAATAGCATTGTCCTTAGGAGAACGACTCATTTTGTAAAGCTGTGAGATCACATTGAAAGAGCCAAAAATATTGTTTCGAGTCTAAATTAAGAATGTTTCTTTATGCCAAAAATCAGAATATGAAGCATAAATAAAGTTCTGTTAAGATATTATGTAAATTACCTTTAGTAAAGACATCAAAACTAAACGTTTGATAAGTAATAAGCATTGCTAAGAACTAAATTTAGACTAATTTTAAGGTGATTTGATAAATATTTTGTTTTATTTTTTAACCCTCAGATGCCAGATTTTCAAATAGTCACATCTCAGCCAAATATTGTCCCATTCCTACAAACCACACAGCAATAGATACATATACAACTGCTTCTGTAGTGCAGGGTCAAAATACTCAAATATAAATCCAACACCATAACCTACACTGAACACTTGCTGCTTGTTCAAACTACTTCTTTAAAATGGGCTGAATCAACACAACTCTTAAGGTTTTTGGAGGAGAACTTAATTGTTTAATGTTCGACCAACCTAAAGTTGTAAACACAATTAAGCTAACTTAATTTGTGTTGGGACAACATGAAGGAATTGTGTGTTCCCCAGCATTTTTTACAGTGTATGAAGGCAGATGTCAACATCAGTAATCTAACAACACAGCCAATGCGCTGCCAAATCATGAACACGAGCCCAAGAAGAAGAAACTATTAGGAGAACGGCTCGTTTTGGAAAGCTGTGAGATCACATTGAAAGAGCCAAAAATATACATTGTTTTGAGCCGAGATGATGAATGTTTGCCAAAAATCATTTGAAATAATATTAGGCATTAAAAAAGTTCTGTTAAGATATTATGTAAATTATCTTTGGTAAATACATCAAAACTAAACGTTTGATTAGTAATATGCATAGCTAAGAACTAAATTTGGTCAAATTTAAAGGTGATTTTATCAATATTTAGTTTGTTTTATACCCTCAGATGCCAGATTTTCAGATAGTCACATCTCAGCCAAATATTGTCCCATCCCTACAAACCACACATCAATAGAAAGCTTTTGTATTCATATATCAATCGATCACATATACATCTCAACTGCTTTTGTAGTCCAGGGTCAAATTACTCAAATATAAATCCAACACCATAACCTACACTGAACACTTGCTGCTTGTTCAAACTACTTCTTTAAAATGAGCTGAATCAACACAACTCTTGAGGTTTTTGGAGGAGAACTTAATTGTTTTATGTTCGACCAACCTAAAGTTGTAAACACAATTAAGCTAACTTAATTTGTGTTGGGACAACATGACGGAATTGTGTGGAAACCAGCATTTTTTACAGTGTATGAATGCAGATGTCAACATCAGTAATCTAACAACACAGCCAATGCGCTGCCAAATCATGAACACGAGCCCAAGAAGAAGAAACTATTAGGAGATTGGCTCGTTTTGGAAAGCAATCCCAGGTTACAAGATGCCATATTCCTCAAAGCTGGAGAAGGTTTTCATGTTAATTGGGCTGATAGTGTTTGTGAGGCTTTCTCTACAGGAGAACCGGTTTGACCTTGAGAGGAGCTGGAGAAAGAGCCGGAGAGGAGGGGCAGAGAACGCATCAGATGGAGGAGGAGGAGGAACACCCATCCCGCTGAAGAAGAGGTACTGCAGAGTTTAGCATCACCAGGCCTGCATGCTTCACACTTTGATGCAAAGCCGGTTACCAAGCAACAGCGCGTTTTATTAAGAAACTGCAGTATTAATTAAGAACTGTATAAAGGCATGAGTAGTTACGCAGAGCATCCTCCTAAAGCAATGGTGTGAAGGGATGTGGAAATTTCCTCTCATCCTCTCAAGCAGGGCAATTTGCATATGGAGTGAATGCGGAGGCTACGTCACCGCGGATGAGTGACTGACAGCCGATGCGTCCGAATAATCGAAAGGTTCCTTTTTTTAGGTGATCACTATTTAATTCCCCCGCAAAGCCCTGCTGTGTGATGACAATGTCGAATTGAGTGAAATGCCTAACAAAAACCCGCGTGAGGTGATTTAAGCAGGTGCGACCGTTCGTCAAGTTAGCGAATAACCGACGCGTCGAATGTTTAAAGCGCAATTATGAGCCGAACGCATCATTTCGCATCTAATGTGACAGGCCTGCCGTAGAGAGCGCAGTGATGACATTCAAGAAAGCTATTCATAGACCTCGAGCCTCGTGTGAAACTGCTGGATACAAACGGCAGGGAAAATCAGCCATGCTGTTCAATTAAAACCCGATTAATCACGTTAATCCGCGGCGCGTAATGAAGAGTATTGCGTAATTGCGGTAGTTCATCGTTACATGATAACAAGAGCTTATTTAGAATGGCACAATTTACAAAAGAGGCTTTTAAAACCGTGTTTCAGATTGACTAATCGATCGATTATCTCGGTTTATCTCCGGATATTGTCCATCAATTATTTCCACGGCTTGACGTTGTGCATTTCACGGCACATGCTGCCACACTGTAACGGACTGCGGGCGACAGAACAGCCAGAGAGTCTGCTGGAGACGTGAATGGGAAACCCTTCAGTTTTGCTTTATGATGAATTCGGAATGTACAGCGATTCAATTGCACGGATATCTGGCTACTGTATGACACTTGTCAGAAAGCCGAGGACTTACCCCAACTGCTCGCCGTGCGCCCGATGAATTCCCCTGTCCGCGGGTTGTAGATAAAATCTTTCCAACTCGACTGCTTCTCGTCAGCTTTCTCCTCTTTGTTGGCCATAGTGTGGAGAGGATAGATAAACCAGTTTGAGAGCGATGGATGAGGACAAATCAAAGAAAGCGTCGGCTCGGGCTTGCCAGCTTGGCGTTGTGGAGGCAATGAGGTGTGCGGTGTTTCCACGCGGCTCGACACTGCAGCAGTCCGACGCTCCGCTAGCGGCGTTTCAAGCGCTCCGGCGCATGCGCAGAAGGGCTGCGCCTCAATTCCAAGAACCGCATCCAAATGAACAGTAGCGCGGTCTTCATCATCATCATCATCATTTCTGTGAGATTTATTTATTTATAAAGTATTATACACGCCGCGGTGCAGTCCAAAAAGTTGAACGGACACCATCATAGGGTTTCCTGGGCTTTTTAATACTTTTTTTTGTTTACCTCAGGGTGGGGTTGAGTTTTGTACAGGCATCTTGACTTGACAAAAAAGCTGGTGAGCTTTTCCTCAGGGGTAAGTCGTCGTAAGACATTGTTATTCACTGACAGAGGAAATTCTTCTGCAGTAACTACCGAATTACCCCCAGCAGATTTATTCAAGTACTTTATATTCAGAATAATACGGTATATTCATGTTGGCTTAATAGCTTCCTAAATCTTTTGTAGCAACAGGCAACTTTACTTGAGAAAAAAAGCTAAAGCTAGTGAGATTTACCTTCAGTGTAGGTCGTCGTAAGACATTGTTATTCACTGACAGAGAAAATACTTATTTTTTTGACATGAAGTTGTTTCAAAAAGTATAAAGAATTGTGTTGATACAGCTCGTTTTAAATACGTAACAAGTAGCAAAAAATAAATTACCCCAGCAGATTAATCCAAGTACTACTGTTCTAATAGGTTAAATTACATTTTCATGTTGGCTCTTCAGCTAAATCTTACAGCAAGACCACTAATAGTTTTGTACAGGCATCTTTACTTGACAAAAAACAAGTATCGATTTACCCCACCAGATTAATATCAAATTAAATCACACAGAAGTAAAAAGGTAACGTCTAATGATGTTACAGCTCGACGTTGTGTGGACGTTACCACTATGACGTCTCAGACGTTGGATTTTGTTTGACATATGACTGTATTTGATGTCAAAATGATGTTGGTTTAAGATGTTGGCTTGACGTTGGATTTTGGTCACTTTCTAAAACAACCTAAAATCAACCAAATATCAACGTCATTTGATGTTGTTATTGGACATCAAAATAGCGTTGTCCTTAGACGCTGGCTAGACATTGAATTTTGGTCACCTGACATCGAACTAAATCGAACCTAATATACACAAAAAGCTAACTAGTGAGCTTTTCCTTCAGGGTAGGTCGTCATAAGACATTGTTACTCACTGACAGAGAAAACAGTCCTTCTGTTGACATGAAATTGTTTCAAAAACCATGAAGAGTTGTGTGGATACGGCTCATTCTAAATATGTAGTTTTAACAAGCAGCAAAAAAAAATTAATACCCCAGCAAATTATTTCAAGTACTGTACTATTGAAGGCTTCTCTTTATAGTGTTTTCATGTTGGTTTAAAAGCTCTACTGCTGAATCCAAACAGCAAGACCAACAATAGTTTTGTACAGACATCTTTACTTGACAAAAAACAAGTGTCGATTTACCCCACCAGATTAATATGGAATTAAGGTAATAGCAGTGGTGTAAAATAACAAATTACAAATTCTCAAATTACTGTAACTGAGTATTTTTTTTTCTGTGGAATTGTAATTTACTTAATAGTTTTACTTTTACTCTACTACTTTATTTTTTATTGTCTTTGCGGATTAGAAAATCCAGTCCTGTGATTCCTGTCCAATTAAATTACAATAAAAAGGTAAATCACATCATAATGACCTACCTCAAGACATGCTGATTTATAATTGCAGCAAACTGTTTGGAAGCATTTGAAGTGTTCAAGAAGATGTCCAAAATCTTCACACGCGTTGACTCAGAGACTGTTTAGAGGCATGTCACTGATGAGAAGATGACGGATGTTTACTGTATGATGGCCTTAAACACCCAGCAGGCACAACACATCCACATGACGTCAGATTAAAGTTGTACCTCAACATCGTGGGGACGTTGCATTTTGTTTGGAAATGAAAATCATGCTGACATCTGAACTCAACGTCAGGCCGACGTCCATGTCCAATGTCCAACTTAAAATCAACCAAATATCTACGCCTAATGATGTTACAGCTTGACGTTGTGTTTACGTTATCACTATGATGTCTCAGACGTTGGATTTTGGTTGCCATAGCTGACGAATAAATGTCAGTATTTGATGTCAAAATGATGTTGGTTTAAGATGTTGGCTTGATGTTAGATTTTGGTCACTTTCTTAAACACCCTAAAATCAAATATCATGGTCATTTGATGTTATTGGACATCAAAATAGTGCTGTCTTTAGACGCTGACTAGACATTGAATTTTGGTCACCTGACATCAAACTAAACTGAAGCTAATATACACAAAAAGCTAACTAGTAAGCTTCTACTTCAGGGTAGGTCATCATAACATTGTTACTCACTGACAGAAAATAGGTCTCCCGTTGACATAAAGTTGATCCAAAAACCCTCGAGAATGGTGTTGATTCAGCTCGTTTTAAATACGTAGTTTTAACAAGTAGCAAAAAAAGAATTACCCCAGCAGATTACTATCGAGTTATCTCAGTAAATTAATCCAAGTAGTCTACAATAGAAGGCTTTTCTTTATATAGTGTTTTCCAGACTGATCTCATGAGGAAACGTAAGTATTTTACGTGTTTTCAGTTTAGTGTCTAATTTGTACAAATTTGAGTTTAGTCGTATGAAAATGTACGATTTTAAAAAGGAGGCGTGGCACCTAACCCCATCCGTCATCGGATGATGGGCAAATCGTACAAAATGGTACAAATTAGATCGTACGAATTCATACGAATTAGCCATCAAGTCAAAAGTTACGAATTGCCATGAGATTGCGTTGGTGTTTTCATGTTGGTTTAATAGCTCTTCAGCTAAATCTAAACAGCAAGACCACTAATAGTTTTGTACAGGCATCTTTACTTGACAAAAAACAAGTATCGATTTACCCCACCAGATAAATATCAAATTAAATCCCACATACAAGTAAAAAGGTAACGTCTAATGATGTTACAGCTTGACGTTGTGTGGACGTTACCACTATGACGTCTCAGACGTTGGACTTTGTTTGACCTGATGACTGTATTTGATGTCAAAATTATGTTGGTTTAAGATGTTGGCTTGACGTTGGATTTTGGTCACTTTCTAAAACAACCTAAAATCAACCAAATATCAACGTCATTTGATGTTGTTATTGGACATCAAAATATCGTTGTCCTTAGAAGCTGGCTAGACATTGAATTTTGGTCACCTGACATCGAACTAAATCGAACCTAATATACACAAAAAGCTAACTAGTGAGCTTTTCTTTCAGGATTGGTCGTCATAAGACATTTACTCACTGACAGAGAAAAGACTTTGTTTGTTGACATAAAAATCGACCAAAAGTGTTTGTTTATTAGACTATACACTGAAAAAAAATATGATTAATTGGATTTACTAAAATTTAGGGTGCGATAATGTAAGGTAAGTGGTTGCGAACAATTTATAACGGCTGAATCGAAACAAATTGCATTTAGTCATGTTCAACCTAATTTGTTTGTTCAAATGAAGCCTATATAAATGGTTTGCAACCACTTACCCTAAAAAAACTTTGTAAATCTAATTGTGTTTTTAAGTATTTAGTATTTATCACTGTTATTGGACGCTACAGTATTATTTTAGAGATATTATTGAAAAAAGGTAATGATTTGCACTCATCAAGTAATTGCGTTGTACTGTTTTTCTTTTTACATTTTCCGGGTGATTTAAAGACACAAACGTTTCGGCACAATGCCGTCCTCAGTGTGTGATACAATGCTCGAACTCCACCCTTTTATCCCACAGTCTATTACACTGCGTCATCAGTTAGACGGCCACTCTCATTTTCATTTCATCATTCCATGATTAACCACATAAGGACTGTTTACTTTCATATTTCAAACATTATTTCACAGAGCAATATCATATCAATTATCATCATTTGCCAAGTGTACATATATTTTAGTATATTTAAATATATATGTAGTTTATTTCAATTTTTACTACAGTAAACTGAGGTATAATATAGCTTAACCTCTAGTCGTTTAGTACGAATTTAGTACGAATTATAAATTGTCGATCAGGGGGGTCAACTCTTTCGATAATGTTGTTTTGTGTAATACAGTGAATTAAATTAGTTTATTTGAATGACCTACGTTTTCAGTGTTTTGTGTACTTATATTCTCTGATTAGCTATTTCAGAGGTTACTGTAGGTCACACAAACTATGCATCTAGTTTGACTTTACTGTTAGGCTATATGTAGAAACAAACACCTGTTTTACAAGAAGAGTGTGAACGCTTACCCTGTCTATCAGCGTAGATTGACTGACGCGATTGATTATGCATTCACAATGGTATAATCCATTATAGGGGTGGTCAAATGTAAACTACCTGACAAAAGTCTTGTCGCCTATCCAAGTTTTAAGAACAACTAATAATAACTAGTTCATTTGGTAACAGAAATGGCTTATATGAAAGGTGAAGACCTCTTATTTTTAATATGCTTATTTTACCAAAATAAATATGATCATGCCTTGATTTTTAATTATTCAATTAGGACAGAAAGGTCTGACTTTGCTTAGACAAAAGTCTCAATAATGTTCATGTCTGGTGACTAGGGTGGCCAATCCTGGAGCACCTTCTCTGCATTCAGGAGCTTTGATGTGGAGGCTGAAGTATGAGAAGGAGCGCTATCCTGCTGAAGAATTTGCCCCCTCCTGTGGTTTGTAATGTAATGGGCAGCACAAATGTCAGGCTGTTGATGTTGCAGATCTCTCGCACGCCCCATAGTGAATGTAACCCCAAACCATGATTTTTCCTACTTGACTGATTTCTGTGAGAATCTTGGGTGCATAACAACATCTAAATCAAGTCATTTTAGCATGTCAAAGTCAAATTCATGCATATAAAAATTTATTTTCTCAACAATAATACTGTGGCTAGTGAAAATGGCGAGTGGCTAGTAATGTTGGAAAACTACTAGCCACAGTGGCTGGTGATCAAAAAAGTTAATGTCAAGTAGGCTTGCCACGATAGACGGTGGTGCCGGTTTTAAGACGCAACACCGGTGACATCACTTTTCACCTTGTTTTTTTTTTAGTATTCGTTTTTTTATTACATTTTTATTTGGATTAAATGGAAAATAAAATTCTAAGACTAGAGCATGCACTATAATCAAAATAAGAACATAGCTACAATGCGTCATATTTCATTTATCACGCGAGAAGAATGAGAGGGGTCGAATTTACAGAAAGAGAATGGCAGATGATTTAGTGTCGAAACGCAATGCAAAAGCGCCTGTTCGGCAATATTTTGGGTTCAAACCAAATGCAAACTGAAAGTGAAAGTATTGCGCGCATTTATAAGCTATTTAAAAGCAGGAAAAAAAGAGGAAACCCCCCACCCCCACGGTGATACCGGTATTACCGGTGTTGTCACATGTCGATTGCCATTCATTCATTCATTTTCTTGTCGGCTTAGTCCCTTTATTAATCCGGGGTCGCCACAGCGGAATGAACCGCCAACTTATCCAGCACATTTTTACGCAGCGGATGCCCTTCCAGCCGCAAACCATCTCTGGAAAACATTCACACACACACACACACACACACACTACAAACAATTTAGCGTACCCAATTCACCTATAGCGCATGTCTTTGGACTGTGGGGGAAACCGGAGCCCCCAGAGGACACCCACGCGAACACAGGGAGAACATGCAAACTACACATAGAAACGCCAACTGACCCAGCCGAGGCTCGAACCAGCGACCTTCTTGCTGTGAGGCGACAGCACTACCTACTGTGCCACTGCGTCGCCCTTATCGATTACCCGGTGAGGAAATTTCCTCATCGTCACAACCCTAATGTCAACCCCTGATGATAATAACTATTATTTCTACACTTTAATTATTATTAAAATGGCTTTAAATGAAAAAGAAAAGAAAAAACAGCAGAAGTAACCAAAATTATATGTTTATATATGTATACATATACATACAGTTACATTGCAAACCAAAATTCAAAATTCATATTAGTTCTATATGGCCGAGTTGGTGTAAAATGCCAACCTGAGTGGATCTGGAGCGTTTTCCTTCTGAATGCCAACAAAAATCCCTCGCAACAAGACTACATCTCCCAGCATGCAACATTCTGGAGGCCACTCGCCTCCCAGAACAGCAGACGGACGACCTCCTTTTATCCTCCTTCAACTACTGTGATGAATGTCAAGAGTAAACTATACAACACAACAAAATGACACTGAATCAACCTATAAAACAACCTTTTTTTGTCTATGTAATTCCGTCCAATCGGTGAACAAGTTGCCCTCCACGGAGACAAGTCAAATAAAGTGGCACTAGCCCACCGGACTACAGATACCGTCATACTGGAATATGACCCAAATAAATACAATTTAGGAACGTCCTCTGGATATGAAGTACTGAGATGACGTGAGGCTCTTCTTTTAAACGAATCACTCAAAACTGCGGCTCGCTGGCCTGAAAGCACCACAGAAACACATGTGCCCGTCTCCAACCCGCAGCCAGTCAGGAGGAGGGAAGAGACGCTAGTTAAAATATGTCCCGCAGAGAGGAGTGTCAGCTTATTTTCCTGTGTAGTAGTCCTCCCCGGCACGTTTCGGGAAAGCATCACTCTGGAGATGAGGGGCTGTCGTCGTCATCATCGTCCTCATCATCGTCCTCGTTGAAGGAGCTGGGCGTCAGCACGCGGGACTCGGAGGTATGTGACAGGGCAGTGCTGCTGAGGAAGAGGACATGAGAGGTCTTTGAGAATACGTTGGCCTTAACCAGCAACTAAATGCACTACAGAATGTTACGTTTTCAAACAAATGCACAAAGCACATGTGTTTGATAACGTAACATTCTGTAGTGCATTTAGTTACTGTTCAAGGCCAATTGGTGATTTCAGTCATCATTCAGTAGACATGCTTCATCATCGGTCTGAACAGTCTCTTGGTTGTTATGTGTAAAGATTTTATGTCTTCTTGTACACTTTTAATGTCTTCACACTACATGTTTGGTGCTTTTTAAAGCAACTGCGTCTTGAGGTCGGTCTGTTATATGATTAATCTAAGCATGATTTGATTTGACTGGAATCATGGGATTGATTATTCCACTTAGCCAATCACTGTAGACAAGAATAAATAAATATATAAAGTAGCGACTGCAGGTTAAGTGTAGATAAAACACAGAATAGCACTCAAAATAAGCCCTTAATTAAAGTACAGTTCTTAAGAAAAACTACACATTTTCAGTTATTTGTTACTTCACTGCACTTGTTAAACCCAAATGAAAGAGGGTATCTGTGGACACTGGACATTTACAAGTTTTGCAAACTTACCTTGTGAGGCTGAGAGGTGTTCTGGTGGAATTTCTAGCCATATCTGTTGGGAAAAAAACCAAACGAATATTTAGGTATTAAATATCAAACACAAAAATGTATTACGAAAACATCTCGACACACGTTCATTTGAAAGCTGTTTTAAATTACAACACAGGCTTTCAATGTCTGATGGAAAAAGCTTATTTGTGCATTTATGACCTCTAGGTTAGATTACTGTAATGCATTTCTGGGTGGTTGCCATACTAGGGTTGTCATGATACTGAAATTTGGTACTAGTCGATACTGAAATTTTTAAAACGTCCATTTCCCGCTAACATTTGATCGCTAGAGTACGTAATTAAATAACGCTAATTGGCCATTGGGTTTACGTGCTCAACAGAAATGAGTGTGATTGGCTGTAAAGGTCATCAGTTCACCAAAGTCACAGCTGTTTACTGAGTGTAACCACAGATATACAAAACAAAAGCCTGATAAAGTTGACCTGTACCAACTTGTACCGTACCGTACTGTACCACTCAGTGGAAACGGGCCATGAATAACCCACCTGCCAATACACACTTAAAACACAACCTTTAAATACATCCACGTACACAGATCTATCTCTTCCAGACTCTAAACATCAATTTGGTCAACGAACGTAGTGTTTGTTATTTCATTCAATATATCACATTGCTCTAAATCTCAAAGGCTATTGGCTCAGTGATGGGTTTATTCATGACGTGCGTCATGTGACAAGAATCAACCAATCGACTTCTCTATATCTGTGGTTACACTCAGTAAACAGCGGCGAGTTCAGTAAACTGATGACCTTCATGGCCAATCACAGTCTATTATGTTGAGCATGTGAACACAATTACAATACAGGCTTTCAAAGTCTGATGGAAAAAGCTTATTTGTGCATTTATGACCTCTAGATTAGATTACTGTAATGCATTCTTAGGTGGATGCCCTACTAGGGTTGTCACGATACAGGAATTCAGTACCAATTGATACAAATTTTTTGAAAATGTCCATTTCCCGTCCATTTGAGTGCTATTGAGTGCGTTCTTAATCATCACAGATTTGCCATTGTGTTCACGTGCTCAACAGAAATGGCTGTAAAGGTCATCCGTTCACCAAACTCAGCACTGTTTGCTAAGTGTAACCACAGATACAGAAACACTTGAGTGTTTCAAAGTCACGTCGATCCGCTGTTCTGTCAATAAGTTGACATATGAGTGATCCGCTGATAAATCGTGGCTTTAAAACACTCCAGTGTCCCTGTATCTGTGGTTACACTCAGCAAACAGTGCTGAGTTTGGTGAACTGATGACCATCACGGCCAATCACAGTCATTTCTGTTGAGCATTGGAACCCAATGGCAAATCAGCCCTATTTAATTACTCGCTCAACAGTGCTCAAATGTTAGCCGGAAATGAACGATTTTACAATTTCAGTATCGATTGGTACCGAATTCCATTATCTTGCAACCCTATGCTGATTAGGGGCCGTTCCCATACGTTATTGCGTCTAAAACCTATTGGAAAATTTGAGATGTGTCGCTCAATTTCAATACACTTCTCAGCTTGGGCTCCCATCAGCTGTCCTCTCATAGGAACCACCTCTGACAGAAGCTTGCTGCAGCTCTGATACAAGTTCATTTATGGATAAAATTAGAAATTGAGTGCTTTGTGTTTGTCTGAGGTAACTGGTCCACCATTAGTAGTGAAATGTGTATAATAATCCATGTAAAGTCTAAAGCTGATTAGTCGGTTCTTGTCAATAAACCAATCACTGAGCCAATAGCCTTTGAGTTTTAAAGCATTGTGATTTATTAAATGCAGTATTCATTAACCAAATTGATGTTTAGACTCTGAAAGAGATAGATCTGCATTTGTGAATGTATTTTAAGAGTAGATGTCGTTCATGAATTAAATGAATGAGAGTGTATTGGTAGGTTGGTTATTTAGCATGCGAGTCAATCTGGTTTAGCAATCAGCAGAAAGTGGATTCAAAATGGCCACCCTTTGTCACTCATCTAAGTCCTATACCCAGGCCTAAGGGAGGAGACAAGAAAGCCAACATGCTAGTTATGACTGCTCTGACCTTGTACAGACTGATGCAGTTTTTCACACCGTGGGCTTCTATGCATTGACATTTGTATGTCGAGAGGCGTACTCGATAAGGGAATGTGAACAGGAAGGAAACCTGTGGCTATAGTGTAAAGCAATAAGCGATAAGCAAAGTGCAACAGTTATTTGCAGACTTGCAAGTAGATTTGCACAGAATGCAAATTGAATTATTTGATTTATACGATTGAGTATATGAACACAGTAAAAACACCAGTTCAATCACAACTCTTTAATAAGCAAACAAACAAAAAATGCTTATGATAATAACTAATGTGTCCACACGAAAGCGGGTATTTCCAAAACGGTAGCTTTTTCAATGCAGTTTGGCTATTTGTCTACAAACAAACGCAGTATCTGATCACTGAAAGCAAAACCTTTGAAAGGTTTATTTATTTACTTATTTTATTTGACTTCTGATTGGCCAACATGACTTGATGGTTGGAAGTGTATTGCCACCTTTTGGTTTGGCATGCTCTTGACAAGGATTTAATGAATAATCTAATCCTGAGATATGACTATTATACTATAGTCTCTACTACATCTAAAATCCATGACAATTACGTCTATTTTAAAGCACTACTGTATGAAAACAACAAGTTTATGGGAGATTTTGTCGTCAAGCGCAAGAAATCACTCAAAAAGTGTTATGTTTGCTGTTTTTTTAAACTACTTATTTTAAGTGAGCTGAAACAACACCATTCTTACCTTTTTTCGTTTTTTTTTGGAGACAACTTAATTGTTTTAAAATTTAAACTGTTTGTCTGATAGTGAACTCTTCTATTAATATAGTATACAACCGAGCACATGTGTCCAGAAAACAAACTTGTTAAATAAAGTGTTAAGTGTTCACCCAAAGAAAAAAAAAAGAAACACTTCACTGCCTTTCCCACATCTGAGAGAGTTACGGTGTGGAGAAGCCCCAAAGAAGCGTTCCACCCAGACTGTTGCATACCCAGAGTGAAGCATGGGGGATGATGAGTCTACTTAAATTTGTAAAGACTGATAAGCTATCCTAAATCCTTCATGTTAACCTAACAGAAAACGATTATGAGGGACCCAAAATGTTTTACACGTACTGGTGATGTAAGCTTCGAGAGATTTGGGCACCAGAGATTTGGCCAGAGTGAGGTTTTGTGGAGAGCATGTGCCGTTCTCAAGGCCCAGAGACATTCCCATCCGCTTCAGGATCTCAACGTCATCGTGAATCTCAAACGTGTTGTCAAAGTTGAAGAGGTATTCACACCTGTGTGCAGGAAAGAGTTTGTGTTAAATAAAGCATTCTGTTGTTATTACAGATGGTATACGGCTAACACAGGGTTTCTGCAGGTTTCACCAAGTTAAATTTAAGACTTTAAGACATTTTTAAAATCATTATGTATCAAATTTTAAACTTATACAAGACTAAATGCTGAGGAGTTTTTAAATATCCTAGTTAGAAAAGATTTTCACTATTTCCAATCAAAAAATGAATTCAATTGAATAGATTTAATAATACAATCATAATAATTTAGTAATTTTTTTAATTAATTTTCAAATATATCCACTTACTAAGAATATAATTAAAAGTAGCTGTCAATTACTTCAGTCTACAATGATAATAATTTTATATTATAAAAGATAGGTCAGGTCAGTATCCTCAGCAGTAAATAAATGGAGAACTTTTAAGCAAAACTACTTACTTACTGTAAGCAAAGTAATTCAATACTAATTTTAAATAAAATGTTTATTGAGATGGACTGTATGGGTGATAATGGGCAGATTGGGGTAAGTCCTGTTAAAAAAAATGAAGAAGAAGACCTACAACACAATATTTCAGTAGATTTAAGACTTTTTAGGCCCTAAAATTTAGCTTTTGAGATTTAAGACATTTAAAAACATTTTAGGACCCCGCGAATACCCTGCTGTGTTTTTCTAGGATTTTTTCCAGCTGTGGTGGAACACAGATCTACCAAATACCTGTGGCGTTATTTCAATGACAAATGTCGTGAGCACAGTATTAGAGGTCGAGATCGCATTTATGTAATAACTTACATGTACGAGCATGCGAATCGCCGATTTCCTCTGCTCGTGCACAAAACCTCTTGCACGCCCCCTCAAATATAAGCCGCTTCAAGGACATGCAGATCTTCTTGTGCGCTCTCAAATAAACGCTGCTGGGTGCGATTTAGTGTGTTTATGTAACGAGTATGTCTCCGGCGATTATTAGATTTGCTAGGAATGTTTATGAATGTCTCAAATAGACCTACAGAGTAGCATTAATGTCTTGAAGTAAAGTGAAACGGCTATACGTCGTGTTTGCTGGCATCACGCATCACGCACCTGTCAGGTCATGCCAGTCAGTCAGCACGTCACCTTAAAGGGTTAAACAAATGACGCACAGCACTACTACGGTAACAGAAAAGGTTGCGCTGTTATAATTCACTTACCCTTTTAATGCGTTTTGGTGCGATTATTACACGCTATTAAAAAAATAAAATGTTTTGAATGAGAAGCTGTAATGTAGCCATGGTGGGATGAATTTTGGCGTGGCGCCCCGCCATGGACAAATGAATGTAGCGGAAACCATGCCCTGTAACAATAAGAGTAAGTAATCCATACTAAAATGTTTGTTGAACTGTTTTAGTCAACCCAACTTACATCAGTCAAACTGACTAAACATATTAGGTTCAACTTTGCATGGATGTAACTTTTAACTTATCAAATTAAGTTGTTGTGACTTTGTCATTACATTTTTACAGTGCACTTCCATTAAAACACTTACAAATATTTGTATTCCCTGGCTTAATTATATAAGGAGAGCACAGAGAAAATATGCACGCCTATACATATTTCTTTTATTTCTTCCTTTTTGCACATTGGAGTATGGGAGAAACGCAATTTCAGTCTGCTGTGTAATGTACTGTTGCATGGTTTGATTGACAATAAAGTTGACTTGACTTGACTTGACTTGTATTATTATTTTGATTATTTTTTGATTATTATTTTTGATGAATCATTTATTACTGCTGTACCTTTTGCATATTTGTATTTATATATTTTTCTGTATTTTATGTGTTACTTTTATTTATAATGTTATTTTATTCATCTTATTATTAAAATTATATTTTTTATTTGTGTTTTGGCCTAAATTGTTTTTGATGCAAGAGTATACACTCACCGGCCACTTTATTAAGTACACCTGCCTAACTGCTCGTTAACACAAGTTTCTAATCGGCCAATCACATGGCGGCAACTCAATGCATTTAGGCATGTAGACATGGTCAAGACGATCTGCTGCAGTTTAAACCGAGCATCAGAATGGGGAAGAAAGGGGATTTAAGTGATTTTAAATGTAGCATGGTTGTTGGTACCAGATGGGCTGGTCTGAGTATTTCAGAAACTGCTGATCTACTGTGATTTTCACGCACAACCATCTTTAGGGTTTACAGAGAATGGTCCGATAAAGAGAAAATATCCAGTATTACACATTTAAATAATCAATTACATATATTATACATGTAAACATTTTCTTGTTTCAACAGTTTTCTGAAATTAGCAGTGTATATATCTCCAGATAATGGACATGGCAGTGAGTGAAATCTCGTACTTGTCGCTAGAGATGGAGCAGTCGATGACGGTGCGGACGTCTGTGTTGAGAATGATAAAGGGAAGCTGAATGACAGATCCTGCAGGAGGACTGGAACGGGACGACGCTTCGCTGGCCTGGTTCCTCTGCACCAGATTCTTAAAGGCGACCTGCTGCTCATGAGAAGAGAAGAAAAGAGACGCACCAATCACCACATGTACAAACAAAGCCCTAAATCACACATATCATAACAATATGACTGTTATTAGCTCACATTGCTAGTTTTGTGGTGAACAATTCATCAGTGCATGTCATTAGGAGAAAAAAAGCCCTTGCCCTTCTAGGTATTGGGCGTGACCAACACTTAACCACTCCCCTCCAGCTGTCAGTTTTGATAACAAACAGAAATGGTGAGGAGGAGGAGTCTGTAAGGCTGTAAAAACTCTCCTCAATCTCTTTTCCAGATCTTTCTGAATGAAATGCCTACTTTACTACATTTAATACTCATTTAATAATCCATTTCTCTAGGATGATTCAATATGAACATTAAAACAATAATAAAAACGGTCACAGCTTCTGATTTATGACTTTAAATGCTATAATCGCATCTCTGGTGCATCAACCAACACAAAATGATGTGATAAAGAACAAGCCAGTGCGATGTTTGCAGTCAATTGTGCTCAGACTATTCAGGATTCAGGTCTGTCCGACCTTTTTTATTAATAAACGTGTTTGTTTTTATTTAAAATGTAGAATTTCTCTGTTATAATTTATTCATCATTTACAAAACTTTAATGCGCTCCACTATCCGACAGATTGATTAGCTGTAGGCCAGTGGCTCTCAAACTTTTTTTATCAAGTACCACCTCAGAAAAAAATGGTCTCTCCAAGTACCACCAAAATGAGCAGTATTGAAATACAGTACCATAGTAGGCCCAGTAAAGCAGCTAAAACTCTGCACAGTTAAAAAACGTGGCAGATTACCTCAGAAACATAGGCTATATATCATATGTGGCATATTATATACATAATTTTTGATAAATTTTGAAATGTGTGTAGCATGTGCATGACATTCTTCATTCCTCCGCGTACCACTAGAAGGAAGCCGGCGTACCACTAGTGGTACACGTACCACAGTTTGAGAACCACTGCTGTAGGCTATAAAAATCATCAGAAATGTTGTCAAACGGTGCTGTCCCTGTATTTCATAAATAGCCTAGCATTTACTAATGCTGACTTTAGACTGCACGATTTTCAAAGTAGTCGTGACGCAGATGTTTACACACTGCATGACTATCTGGGTAAAGTTCCGTCGCTGCCGTGTTTACACTGTAGGATGGATCGGTGCATGACTTTACAATAGGAGAATCACCAACAACTTTGTCTCGGTCCACAAACTACGTCTCACCACTAAACACACGTGAGAAGTGGCATGGAAACAATGCGAGGTCACATAGTATATCTTTTGTTATCAACTACATAATGAGAAAGAAACCATCAATGGGGTAGCAAATGTACTTATTTTGCTCTCCTGGCTTTTGAAAGGCAATTTCTCCCCAACGTTTTACTTTTTTGACCCGGTTGTGATATTGCTCAAATGACACGTCAAACAGACATGTGTTCTCCTTTTCACAGGTTCCACTAATAAAGCTGCGGTCACACTAGAGTTTGATAATGCGAAATTCTGTCATGCGGCGCTGCGAAAAGGGGCGGGAATAAACAAGATTATTAGGCATTAAAAAAGCGAGCGATTGCTCCATGTTTTAAATTTCTGTCCAGAGAGGTCATGTTTCAATCCTCGATTGGCCTCACGCAGTCAAGTGATCCGATTTCGCAGATCAGAGTTCACCAAGCTTGAAATTTGCACCGCAGCGACCAGCGAAACTTAACGCATGCGTTTCCAGTCTGACGCATTCGCGTGCGGATGAATGGAAGTCTATGGGAGGAAAAGCCCAGTGTGACCGCAGCTTAATTTCCACTAGTTTTCCGTCCATTTCTTGGGTCCAAATAGACCAAAAAGACTGGCCTGTAGATACCCATAGTAGTGGATGCTGCTCTCTCATTGGCTGTAAGTAATCATCAATGTTATTTTCAATCAGAACACATTTCACACGGCATGATTTGAATCGCCGACAGCTTCAGATATTTAGCATGCCAGATATCTCAAAGGTGTCGACAACTCATTAATGATTCCCTCAGATTGCATCTTTAATAGTTCACTGTGTGTCACTCACGTGAACGAGCACCGATTTGCCTGTGATTTTAGGCATTTGTTGGTGATTTCTCAAAACTCAAGTCAAAATTGGGGCTAAAATCATTTAGTCTGAACTCGGCATTACACAGACTATATTGGAGTAGTATTTGAAACTAAAAAGCATTTTCCATCTGTAAAAAACGTCATAATAATGTTTGCCTTAATGCACTAAAACTGCTTTTAAAAGACCAGTAAACACGTAGACATCATGCCTGTCAACATTGGGACGAGAAAACTATGCAAAAAATCCTAAAATTACTAAATGGGTTTACCTGGAGCCGTTTCATTGTAAATAAACAGTCGAAATGGCCAGTAATATAAAATTTTTTGTATTTTATAATTATTTACAAAAGGATAGAATAGCATAAAGCAGAAGAAGCTGGAAATAAACTAAAGTTTAGCCTATTAAAATGAATAGCTATTATAAAAGAACAGAATTAAATTATCAAATCTCATTAACCTTTCCTTCACTGTATAACTTACAGATGGCAGATGGCAGACTCTTAATCAGAGTATTGTCTTCATGGCATTAAAATTGGATTATTGGTGTTCATGTATGGTTTGGGCTGCAGTATCATGGCATTCCCTAGGCGCAATACTTGTGCTAGATAGGGACACTGCCAAAGTCTACCGAACTATTCTGGAGGACCATGTGCACCCAATGGTTCAAACATTGTATCCTTAAGGCGGTGCCGTGTAACAGGATGAGAATGCTCAAATACACACAGCAAGACTGGTGACAGAATGTTTTGATGAACATGAAAGTGAAGTTGAACATCTTCCATGGCCTACACAATCACCTGATGTAAATGTTATTGAGCCACTTTGGAGTGTTTTGGAGGAGCGATTTTGGAGGAAGAAACATTTTCCTCCACCAGCATCACACAGTAACCTGGCCACTATTCTGCAAGAAGAAGGGCTCAAAATCCCTCTCCCCACTGTGCGGGACTTCTATCGATAATTGATGCTGCATTGGCCGCAAAAGAAGGCCATAGACCATACTAATTAATTATTATGGTCTAAAACCAGGCATTTCAGTTTCATAATCCAACCCTCAACGTCATTTACATCTAATAAAAAGGGCAGCTTTAAATCACTTCATATGCTGATAAATGCATTTTGTGCAGTCTTAGCACTAGCACGCACACATGAACACGAACTCATTTCAGTCTCTGCTGTGTGAGGCTGGTCAATGACAAGAACTGAGCCAATGCATTTAATTTAGCACTCCAGCGGCCCTCACATTTCAGCTGAGCACAAGCCTGATCAATATCCCAGCAGGACCAAGGCCTCTTCTGATCCGTCCACACATCTACGGCTTCATCAGTGCGAGCCGCTGTGTGGCATTCATGTTCATCTATAATACGGACTTCACGGTGTTAATGTCGCACATCAACACAAACAGGCCGCAGTGATTTCCTGACAGTCAGTGTGTGGGCTTTGGTTTGACAGCAGGAGATGGATGAGGCTTTCGTCTCACTTCAGGAAAAAAAATAGATCAATATTAGGAGATTGCTGGCCGCCGTCTCTCATCTGCTGCTCGCAATGACCCTTTTCATCGGCTTCTCTCTGGTTATGGAGCGAAGCTGGTTAGCATTGATGATGCTAACTGGATTAAGATTTATTTCAGCAGATTTGGGTTTGCTGATGTGAGCTGTTTAGCAAGGGTAAATTATAAAATAGTGATGTTTTTGTGTTTTGGTTTAAACTTTTCAAATTGTATTTAGCATTTGAAGCCTTTTACTCTCTAAACTGGCTCTATCAATGTTAGCATTTAAGTCCATGTGCTGAAACAAGTCGCTGTGTGAGGAAATGTCCAATCAGTGAGCACTAAAGTAAGGAATGATTTCCTGTGAAATTGAAATTGTGAGTCGCTTGTCAGCACGTGAGCTAATGTGCGTCCAGAATCCCGCAATTGGAGAGACCAAGTGGCAACCTCCCGCTCTCCCTCGTGAAACAAATATGGAAGTAATTAAAACTGCAATTCATTGAAATTCCGCTAGTCCTGGCTCCATAATAGAGCAGGATTCTATTGACCCTAATGCTAAAAAGGCTTTACATTAGAAAAGAAAGTGTTTACAGCCTGCTACAAAGATTGATTTAGTTGTGTATAGCTAATATTACCCTTCATGACAACTGTATGGGAGTGAATTTTTTTAATACCTCATTCGTTTTGTTTATATTAAGTCTGCATAATTAAGGGCGTGGCCACTTGAGTGACAGCCAGATCTTGCCGTCTCATCACCTCAGCCGATTCCGGCTGATTAGCCGCTGAACTTGGCATATTCATTGTATTTTTGTTTTTGTTTATGTGGCTTTACATAGTCAGCTGCCTTTTGGAATTATTTTTTACAACTATCAGATGATATAGCATGCTGTGTGCACTTAATTGTGCTCACAAACCATTCACGTGGCCTCCATTTCCCAGGTGAGTGAAGTTATTTACTTATATATTATATCTAAATGTATTTGTTTTATTTAAGATCATTTATCATGTATAATGTTCTTTAGACCTGTAATGCACTCCAGAATCTGACAGATTGATTAGCTCTAGGCTCTAGAACAGTCATCTGAAGCGTTGTCATACAGTGTTATTCCTGGATTTTATCAATAGCCTTGCATTTACTAACACAGACTATATTTAAAGTATTTGAAAGTGATTTGCGTTTTCCTCCAGTAGAAAGAACAATGTTTAGTGGCTCAATGTCCTACATCAGTGTTTATAAAAGTCTAAACACTTAATTGATATAAAACACAACCAAGCACATGTGGTCAGAACACAAACGAGTCACAGGTGATGAAGTATTAAGAGTTTCTCCCAAAGAAAAGCCCGTCTAAGCAAAATGCTAGCAGGCGTCTATAGCTCCACTCATGCTCCGCCTCTTTGCCCTTATTTGGTCACCCTGGTTGAAGCGATAACGCACAAACAAAATGCTGCCGGTAAGCCACGCCCACTTGTAGCTTCATTTGCGCCCTTTAGAAGCCTTTGGGTGATGTCACAGATACTACATCCATATCTTTTATGATGTATACGACATGCAAATTAAGTCTTGCTTCTCAATGGTACAACATTGAGAACACAAATATTTATGTCCACCTGTCCTTGGAATGAAAACATTTGGAAAATTAAGTTGTCAGCAACACTGTGCTGCATTTGTGGATTGTCTTAAAGTAAAGGCATCTTATTCCTTCTTACAAGCATCTTATTAAGGTAGAGAAAGTGAGAGAAAGGCCCAATCCCAATTCTATTTTTGTACCCCTACCCCTTACAACCGAGGGTGAAGTGGAAAGGCTTTAAAATTTACCCACTGACAATTGGGACAGCACTACAGCACCTGCACACGTCATCATATGTCATTGCGTTCTCTTGCTCCATATGAGATCAGACGATACCGACTGCTGGACAAGATCTCGGATACAAGCGGATGAAATGAATTTCCTTCGCAGGGTGGCAGGGCGCACCCTTATGGATAGGGTAAGGAGCTCTGTCGACCCAGTTCCGGAAAAGCGGTAGAAAATGAATGAATGTCTTAACCTTGTACTAGAGGTCTTCCTTAATGGATTCCCGGGACCCGACCAGATTTCTGCGGCGCGGGAAAGAGTTTCGGAATAAAGCACGGGAGCAGTCGGTAACTGGTTTAATTTTGGACGGGAGCAGGCCGTCTAGCAATATCGCTCCAGACTCCCGAGCGAGCGAGTACGCGTATGTTTGTGTGTGAATGAGACAGCATGATGGTGTGATTAGCTTGTTTGTTGCTGCGTGTGTGCGAATGAGAGAGAGAGCTTTGCCTGTGTGTGTGCTTGGTGCTTATGTGTGTGTGTGTGTGTTTATACAGACTGCTTGTTATAGGCTTTCTGGACTCTGTATAGCTGGGTGGTTTTCGGTTTTGTTCTATTCCCCACTCTTCAGTGGGATCGGGCGCAGCGGGTAGAAAACAGGGCTGGTCGGGCAGCGGGACAACAAATGCTGAATATATATAGAGGTCAGGTTCGGGCTAAAACCTGGCAGGAGCGGGATTCAAAATTTTGTCCCGCGCAGATCTCTACCTCGTACTTCCGCAGTTTTTACGATTCAATGACTCAATCAAAGACTGAATCAGTCAGACATGTTTGCTGAAACTGACCCAAATAGTCTTTCGTTCCCATCTAGAAATGAAAACACAAGCAAAAACTAAAACGCACAGATAAAGAGTTAAACGCTAAAGTACTGAAATCCCTAAGCATTGACTTCTTTTTCTGCTGATGATTCCCATGTGTGGTGCTGTTTGTAATTTCAGCCATGACGTTCATTGCAAGACCAGACGCAAACAAACACAAACAGGTGTGCAACAAACCTGTAATATTAGCTCTTCTAGCTGCGCTCGTTTCTGCCGGATTCTTTCCAAACGCTTCTGTTTTTCCAACTGAAAAATGAGCACAATCACACACACACACACACACACACACAGAAGTAAATAAGCAAGACATGACTGTAGTATAGATCAAGATTTAGTTAGCTGGATAATACGCAGATATGAGCATTAGCTGGTCTAAAGGTGTGTGATCCACATTCAGCCTGTTTCTGCCACAGATGTGACACTAACAGATAGTGTCTGTCTTCAAACACACACACACACACACACACCTCTAAGTTGCGGCACTCCTGGGCTGAGTTTGTGGGAAGGCCGATCCAGCGTATCTCCTTCTTCTCTTTGGAGATAATGTTCATGGCCATCAGCACGTTGAGCGCGTCATACACACGCCGGCGAATGTTTTTCTGGTCGTACACCTGCTGCAAGCACAAACACACACCTTTTTCATGAACAAGGAGCAAGCAGATGTGTGATCATTCAGCCCCAAAAACTTCCTGCATCTTTTTTTAATTACACCTTTTCAGCGTTCCAGCAGGATTAAAACATCGAGAGGACTGTCAGGACTAATAGCGGAAAATATTTGCTCGCTGCGGGGACAAAACAGCTCTTATGCAACGATCCAAACCCGAAGTCTCATTACAAATAAGAGATATTATCCGAGATCAACGTGAAGTGTGTGTTCCTGCTTAGGGGTGATGAGTGCCAGACGAGAGGTGGACACTGTGCAGGACTGCAGGAAGAGCTGGACGTCCTTCAGACTGATAAATCACAGCTATTTAACAGGGGAGGCTGCAGCTCTGTTTTACTCGGCTGTGTAAACTGTTGGCCAGTAAAGTGATGGCCGTTTAAGTGGCGAGCATATGCATATTTCATATGTGAAAGGCCAGTCGGAGACAGTGTAGATCAATAGCAGATTGCGCTGGAAGAAAACATGACGTCAAATCCATGATGAGTCTTAAAAGACTCTTGAATGTAGGAGGGTTTGAACCTCACTTCGCCCATTTCAAATCAATTGTTTAGGGTTTTAAAGAACATCTTGATGTTTAAACTGATACAGTGGTGTGGAAAAAAGTGTTTGCCTTCTTACTGATTTCTTATTTCTTAGCATGTTTGTCACACTTTAATGTTTCAGATCATATAACACATATAAATATTAGTCAAAGAAAACACAAGTAAACACTGTGGAGAGGTAAGCGTGGTCGAACACCCAATCAGGGGGGAGAGCATGCTAGGAGCCCGGCGGCTAATCAGCGGGTCAATCAGAAATGATAAATAACACCTGTCTTTCTAGTGATTGGGCCGGAGAGACTCCCTTCTTAAGGAGAACGGGAGGAGCAGTCGGGAGAGGAGAGAGCACACACACACATACACACCCACGCACACAGTTTGCTAGTGCTGTGGAAAAGCAAAATAAAAGATATTGCTTACCTGATATCGCCGACCCTGTCTTCTTCTTCCCACACAACAACGAACTATACTACAGTGGTGCCGAAACCCGGGAAGGAGAAGAGCCTCACTGCCAGAATGACCACTCCGTCAAGAATGCCATTTGCGGAAGCTATCCAGGCCCTCTCGGTCCTCCACCAACAACAACATGAGACGCTGGTGGAACTAAAGAACATCCAGGAACAACATTTCCAAGTCCTCATGGAGGCCCAGCGGGAGGACCGCGAGCAAATCCGGAGTCTGCTGTCCCAGGGGATCCGGCCCGCTCCGACATCTGCCGCCCACCCTCCCATCACCTTACAGAAAATGGTGCCGGAGGATGATCCGGAAGTGTTCCTGGATATTTTTGAAAAGATGGCTGAGGCGTGTGGCTGGCCGCGGGCTGAGTGGCCGGTACGAGTCATCCCGCTGCTCTCGGGCGAAGCCCAGATCGCCGCACAGCAGCTACCGGCCCAGAATCTCCTGGAATACGCTCATCTGAAGCGAGCTATTCTCCAGCGGGCCGGCCGCAACCCGGAGGAGCAACGTCAGCTCTTCCGATCGCTGGTTTTGGCTGAAGGCGGCCGGCCCTTTGCGTTCGCCCAGCAGCTCCGTGACGCCTGCCGCAGATGGCTGATACAGGATGGCCGAACCACCACCCAACTGGTGGATGCCGTGGTGCTGGAGCAATTCATCACCCGCCTCCCCTCCCGAACATCGGAGTGGGTCCAGTGCCACCGGCCTGATGATCTGGAGACGGCCATCCGACTGGCGGAGGATCACCTGGTGGCGAGGTCCAGGGTTGGCGAAATAACCTCTCTCTCTTCTCCCCCTCTCTCTCTCTCTCTTCCTGTTCCCAGGCCCAGACTGCGGAGACCGCCCACACCTGCACCCAGACGGCGGTGCGCAATGGCGGATCTGCCAAACGTCCCAAGAGGGGCGGGGCCTCATTCGGGCAGAGGGGTGGAGCAACGACCCCTGGCGGTTGCCCAGACACTGCCAGGATTCTCTCCGGTTCAATCGGTTGCTCCTGCTGGCCCCGGGGGTATAGTGGGAAGGTCTGGGCCGATGCATTTGCGTCGCGGGCACGAGGATAGCGCACCAAAAATCTGCTCCGTGAAGGAGGCGAGTGCGCTGATTCGCGTCCCCGCCACGCCAATCGTCGCCCCCGGTCGCAACGGGCTATACCGGGTACCAGTGAGTATAAAAGGGGGTACATATCAAGCTTTGGTGGATTCGGGGTGTAACCAGACTTCCATCCACCAAAGCCTGCTTCAAGACCCGGCATTGGATATGAGCCGCACGGTAAGGGTAAGGTGTGTGCACGGGGATGTAATTCACTACCCGCTGACGGCAATAGACATTCAATTTCGGGGGAAAAAACATAGAGTAGAGGTAGCAGTTAACTCGCACCTCAAACACCCGCTAATTCTGGGAACTAATTGGCCTGGATTTAATAGATTATTGGGAGTCTTATGTGCGGGTGCTTCTTGGAAGAAGAAATCGCCGGATAGGGGACGTGTCGCTCAGCTGGGGGAATCCCAGGCGGTGACGTCACGCGCTGACTCAGGGGAAGGGCTGGGAATTTCCCGGTGTAAAGACTTTCCCCTGGAGCAGTCGCGTGATGACACGCTAAAACATGCACTCGAAAGAGTGCAGGTTATTGATGGGAAAATCCTCCAGCCTGATAGACCCCTCTCCTATCCGTATTTTGCGGTTATTAATGATAGGGTGTATCGAGTGACCCAAGACGCTCAGACAAAAGAAGATACAACCCAGTTATTAGTACCAAAGAGCCGCCGGGAAATGCTTTTTCAGGCGGCTCATTCTAATCCTATGGCCGGACATTTAGGTCAGGCGGCCACACTAAATCGCCTCATGACCCGATTCTTTTGGCCGGGCATTCACGGTGACGTCAGCAGATGGTGCGCTGCGTGCAGTGAATGTCAGCTGGTAAATCCGCCGGCCACCCCAAAAGCGCCGTTGCGCCCTTTACCAATTATGGAGATCCCCTTCGAGAGAATTGGTATGGATCTAATCGGGCCATTAGAGCGATCCGCACGCGGGCATCGGTTTGCATTAGTTCTGGTGGATTATGCAACCCGCTACCCGGAAGCAGTCGCGCTCCGTAATATCTCAGCAAAGAGCGTTGCGGAGGCGCTGTTTCGCCTCATCTCCCGTGTGGGAATCCCCAAGGAGATTCTCACTGATCAAGGCACCGCGTTCATGTCACGCACGATGCGCGAGCTTTACGGATTATTGGGCATTAAATCTATTCGCACCAGCGTCTATCACCCACAAACAGACGGGCTGGTGGAAAGATTTAATCGCACGCTTAAATCAATGATCCGTAAATTCGTTCACGAGGACGCGAAAAATTGGGATAAGTGGTTGGAGCCCTTATTATTCGCTGTGCGGGAGGTTCCCCAAGCCTCCACGGGGTTTTCCCCCTTCGAGCTTCTCTACGGCAGACAGCCCAGAGGGGTTTTGGATGTTGTTAGAGAGGCTTGGGAGGACGAGCCTTCTAAAAGTAAAAATGAAATTCAATATATCCTGGACCTTAGAGCAAAACTCCACACACTGGGGCGGCTCTCTACAGAGAATTTGCTTAAGGCTCAGGATGACCAACGCCGGCGATATGATAAGGGCACTAAACTCCGTAAATTTTCACAGGGAGATAAAGTACTTGTACTGCTACCCACTTCCAGCTCTAAATTACTCGCCAAGTGGCAAGGGCCGTTTGTGGTCACACGACGAGTCAGTGATCTCGATTACGAGGTGGTTCGTTCGGACAGGGCTGACTCGCGTCAGATTTATCATATTAATCTGCTTAAGCAGTGGAGGGAGCCGGAGGACGTGGCGCTGGCTACGCTTGTTACTAACGAGGATGACCTGGGGCCGGAGAGCTCCGGCCGTGAACGGCCGAGCGCTCTGGTCACCGGGGGCGATCATCTCTCAGCGAGCCAGCTCCTCGACATCCGGCACCTCCAACGTGAATACTCTGACGTGTTTTCGTCCCTGCCCGGTCGTACTAACCTGATTCAGCACCATATCGAGACCGAACCGGGCGTGGTCGTTAGGACCCGGCCGTATCGCCTACCTGAACACAAGAAAAAAGTGATTCAGGAAGAATTGAGTAATATGTTGAAAATGGGAGTAGTGGAAGAATCCCACAGCGACTGGGCCAGCCCGATTGTCTTGGTGCCTAAGACGGACGGCTCGGTCCGGTTCTGTGTGGATTATCGCAAGGTGAATGCTGTGTCAAAATTTGACGCTTATCCAATGCCGCGTATTGACGAGTTGCTCGACCGGTTAGGTGCTGCTCGATATTACTCGACATTGGATTTAACGAAGGGCTATTGGCAGATCCCCTTATCTCCAATATCCCGCGAAAAAACAGCCTTCACTACGCCGTTTGGATTGCACCAATTTGTGACGCTTCCGTTCGGGCTGTTCGGGGCACCGGCGACGTTTCAGCGCCTGATGGACAAAATACTCGGCCCTCACACAGCATATGCCGCTGCTTATCTAGATGATATCATCATTTACAGTAATGACTGGCAGCGGCATATGCAACATTTGAGGGCGGTATTGTCGGCGCTGAGACGGGCCGGGCTCACGGCCAACCCACGGAAGTGCGCAATTGGGCGAGTGGAGGTAAGGTATCTGGGCTTCCACTTAGGTCACGGGCAGGTGCAGCCCCAAATTGATAAGACTGCAGCCATTGCAACCTGTCCGAGACCTAAGACCAAAAAGGAGGTGAGACAGTTTTTGGGGCTGGCAGGATATTATAGGCGTTTTGTCCCTAATTATTCGGCCCTTGTCAGCTCATTGACTGATCTCACTAAAAAGGAGGGACCGGATACCGTCCAATGGTCGGAGCAGTGCCAACAGGCCTTCTCAAAGGTAAAATCTATACTTTGTGGGGGGCCGCTATTGCACGCTCCTGACTTTGCTCTCCCCTTTGTTTTACAGACGGACGCATCCGATCGGGGACTGGGGGCGGTTCTCTCGCAGGAGGTGGCGGGAGTGGAACGGCCGGTGCTGTACATTAGCCGCAAACTCAGCAAGAGTGAGGCTAAGTACAGCACCATAGAAAAGGAGTGCCTGGCGATCAGGTGGGCCGTTCTCACTCTCCGCTATTACCTCCTGGGTAGGGAATTCGTCCTCTGTTCAGATCACGCTCCTCTCCAGTGGCTTCACCGCATGAAGGATACCAATGCGCGGATCACCCGTTGGTATCTAGCTTTACAACCTTTTAAGTTCAAGGTGATCCACAGGCCGGGCGTACAAATGGCTGTAGCCGACTTCCTCTCGAGGGCGGGGGGGGGAGGGCTGCAGGCCGGACGGCTCCCCGGCCTGAGGCGGGCGGTGGGGGTATGTGGAGAGGTAAGCGTGGTCGAACACCCAATCAGGGGGGAGAGCATGCTAGGAGCCCGGCGGCTAATCAGCGGGTCAATCAGAAATGATAAATAACACCTGTCTTTCTAGTGATTGGGCCGGAGAGACTCCCTTCTTAAGGAGAACGGGAGGAGCAGTCGGGAGAGGAGAGAGCACACACACACATACACACCCACGCACACAGTTTGCTAGTGCTGTGGAAAAGCAAAATAAAAGATATTGCTTACCTGATATCGCCGACCCTGTCTTCTTCTTCCCACACAACAACGAACTATACTACAAACACATCATTCACTTTTGAAATGAAGGATTTTTATCATTAAGGGAAAACAAAATTAAAATTAAAGCTGCAAGCAGCAATGACAGGGACCTCGCACCCGGGCTCACCGCCCCCCTGTGGCCTCAGGATGACAGAAAAGAGCGAACAACAATAATTTAAGCCGATATATATAAAGAACCTGAGAAAATCACAGATTTATGCCAAACTTCCTCCTGTCAGCAGGTGGCGCTATAACTGTGACTCAAGATTGGCATGTAGATGCATTCAGTAAAGGAATCTTATCAAACATGTGAATTTTCAGGCAGATCGGACATTGTTTGGCTGAGTTATAAGTCATTTCCTGTTGCCAGCAGATGGCGCTATAACTGTATCTGGATATTGGCAAGTAAACATGTTCATGTCAGGACTGTTATCAAACGTGTGGATTTTGAGGCAGATCGGATAATGCTTACCTAAGTTATAAAAACTTCCTGTTTTGTGGTGAATTGTCAAAGTTTGCTAGGCCGCCACGGACACACCCTTCGACGAAAACTCTAGATCTTCGCAATTTAACATCGTCAAGGCGTTTAGATGATAAAAGCCAATTTTGGTGTTGATCCGATAAAATCCCTTGGAGAGGTTTGTTAAAATACAACCCCTGAAAATGGCAAAAAAGCCACTTTTTTGCCGCAGGAAATTAAAAATATCTGACTTCCTGTTGGGTTTAAGATTCCGCTTTTTTGTAGGTTTTGGCGTGTTTTTCGGTGTGTGCCAATTTTCGTACGTGTGCGTGATTCATAACTCGGGGGCCAGTCCGTCAAAAGTGCATAGGTGCCGCTGTCGAGTCATTTTGCCACGCCCACTTCCGAAACCCATAACAAACTTACATTTTCGCCACTTCTGAGACGTGTGCAAAGTTTAGTGAGTTTTCGGGCATGTTTAGCCCCTCAAAACAGCTATTCATTCCGCGGAAAAAGAAGAAGAAAAAGAAGAAGAAGAAGAACCGTTTCGGTGCTCGGTCCCTAATAAATTTAAACTACATATTCCTGTGTGAAAAAGTGTTTGCTCCCTAAACCTAATAACTAGTTGGTTCACCTTTAGCAGCAACAACTACAATCAAGCATTTTCAATAACTTATAATAAGCTTTTTACAGCGCTCTGGAGGAATTTTGGCCCACTCATCCTTGCAGATTTATTATAATTCAGCCACATTTGGAAAGTTTGAGCATGACCTGCCTTTTTAAGATCATGTCACAACACCTCAATTGGATTCAGGTCAGGACTTTGACTAGGCCACTCCAAAGTCTTCATTCTGTTTTTCTACAGCCATTCTGAGGCCATTTTGGGGATCATCAAGATGTTTTCTGACAAAGCTGATACAAACTTTTATGTTCTTTTTGCTCAGCAGTGGTTTTCATCTTGAACTGTAGAACATGTCAACAGGCCTGTGTCATGTTGAATGTACTTTTTTGCATGTTTATCACACTTTAATGTTTCAGTTCATTAAACAAATTTAAATATTAGTCAGAGATAACACAAGTAAACATTACGCAGGGAATGACGATGATTAGGTTCCAAACTTAAGCGAACTTACTGTATGTTCACACCGAAAGCGGCGAGAGCATCAAAGTAGCCGGAAGTCATTAATTTTCAATGAGAGCCAGCGGCGGTAAGTGGCGAGGAGCAGCGCGGCACGTCTTCCCCAGTGTGGATGTTAAGCAGAGTTGAAATCAAATTAACTTTATGGTAATGAGCTATGACGCGGTTTGGCGGCAAGCAATCAGAATGAAGAAGTCCACCGCTTGAGAGGAGTTTAGAGAACAGACTTGTGAACTTTGGTTCCGACCACAGTTGTTCCCACGGGTTTGATTATCGCGGTCGCCGGATTTTCAATTATTTACAATGTTTTTTCAGGAACATGCATTAAATTAATTACTGGCGAGTTATTGATGTGCATTAATGTTACACCTATATATATTTTTATCTTTAAAAAAGTGTGAATCTCATGCGACGGGTTGTTGCGCGCGTAGTGAAGAGCGGTGTTGTCGCGCGCCTACTGAAGAGCGGGACCGAGGGTGTGCCGCGTCGCGGGGGCACTTTTGATCATTTTGTAAGGGCACTTTCTATCCAAGACTAAAAAGGGCATGTGCACTGCACAGGTTGAGCCCTATGTGTGCACGCGCCTGACGCACAGTTAGGCTCTGCAGTAGGACAATTACCCAAAACACCAGCAAGTCTACTTCTGAATGGCAGAAGAAAAACAAAATGAACTGGCCTGGTCAAAGTCCTGACCTAAATCCAATTGAGATGCTGAGACATGTTATGTCTGACTAATATTTGAGTTTTTTTTTGACAATCTGAAACTTCAAAGTGTGACAAACATGCAAAATATAAGAAATCAGTAAGGGGGCAAACATTTTTTCTCCTCAACCACCACCAACCAGTTAGAAGTTGGGCTGTGCGATATTGAAGAAAAATATGATAGCATGGCTGAATAATGCGATTTAGATACGTATCATGATATTTCTGAAAAATGATATAGCCAACATATGTTTCATATTATTTCAAGTGGAAGAAAGCATCACTACTACTAACTTCTGAAAGTAAACAAAAAGTGTTTGCCCCTTTACTGATTTCTTATTTCTTAGCATGTTTGTCACACTTTAATGTTTCAGTTCATCAAACAAATGTAAATATTAGTCAAAGATAACACAAGTAAGCACATCATGCAGGGAATGATGATCATTAGGTTTCAAACCGAAGCCAACTTGGGCTCTACAGCAGGATGATGACCCAAAACACACCAGCAAGTCGACTTCTGATTGGCAGAAGAAATACAAAATGTAGTGGCCTAGTCAAAGTCCTGACCCGAATCCAATAGAGATACTGAGACATGACCTTAGAAAGGCGGTTCATGCTGGAAGACTCTCTAGCGTGGCTAAATTACAGTTCTGCAATGACGAGCGGGACGAAATTCCTCCAGAGCGCTGTAACAGACTCATTGCAAGGTAATTAAAATCGCTTGATTGCAGTTGTTCTGCATAGGTTTGCTCCATCACAGTCCAAACACATGCGCTATAGGTGAATTGGATGTACTAAATTGGCCGTAGCGTATAAGTGTGTGTGAATGTGAGTGTGTATAAATGTTTCCCAGTACTGTGTTGTGACTGGAAGGGCATCTGCTGTGTAAAACATATGCGGTTGGCGGTAGTTGGTGGTTCATTCCGCTGTGGGGACTCCTGATAAATAAGGGACTAAGCAGAAGTAAAATGAAGGAATGAGGATCTGAAACTTTACAGTGTGCCAAAAAAAAAAAAGAACTTAGTAAGGGGGCAAACACTTTTTCACACTACTACACAGTATTTTAAGGCACTCACATCACTTAGTGGTAGAGCTGTGCAAACTTGAAAAATGTATTAGCATGGCTAAATAATGTGATATTCGATACACAATATATTTACAAAAATAATGTAAAAGAAATGACGCTGTGGTCTGGTACTCACAGAGTCTGCAGGCATCAGACTGCTGGCGTGTGTGAACTCGGCTACCAGCTCATCTGCCACCTCGTTGTACGACGTAGTGCCTTTCTTCTGGACCTTCTCGCACACCTTCATGGAGAAATGCCGCAGGCCTTTACCATTCTTATCCGCCCTTTTCAATCTCTTACTGCACAGACAGAAATAGAAATGTTGCAGAGTTTACATAACATAGTATATGAGGTAAAAGATGATGAAAACTATTTAGATTGTATTTATACAACAGTTTGACGGCATAATCATGTATAAAAAAAAGAAAGTCCCAAAATCCTTTTGTACAAGGAACTACTTTCTTCCGCCATTCATTCCCATCTGCAGCTGATGACAGAACAGCAGAATCCGTTGCTCCTTCACCAATGTCACTTTAGAGCTAGTGTTTGAATGATTCTCTAGCGTCATGTCTAAAACGATAATAAAACAGGTGATTTTGCTCAGCATTTTAGGATTACAAGGCTGAACGGCATGAAATGCCATCAGTCTATAGAGATTGCTCAGTATTTCTCTGTTAGAATCAGGAGATCACAATAATTATCCCCGAAAAAAGTAAAAGCAACGCAATCACTACCAGATTACTGTTGTGTTTGTGATAAGGAAAAAACGCTAAGCAAATGCGGCCATTTCTTCTCTTTCTTTCTTCCCAACTAGTCTGCAGTAACAAAAACAGTAACTCAGGGTTATACAAAGAGTGACCAACGCAAAATACATACATTCCTGATATGCGAGTCCCATCTTACACTCAATACACTACAATTACTACGGTATAAATACAGCATTACAACATACAAAAGAGAGAGATCGACTTAGAAAGTCACTTACCAGTTTAACCACTTAAACTCTGTGACATCATCGACTTTCGCTTTCAGATTTAAAGGGCTAGCGTTGCACCAGACCCCCGTAAGTGATGTCGTTTGAAAGTGTAGAATCTATATTTTATGCATATATGCATCACTTTGGTTTTTATCCTACTGTATAAAAGTTATTTACACTTAAATACACAGTATTTTGGATACCCGAGCTAGGTATTTTACATTGGTTCATTTTCATATTTTTCATATGACACATGTACAAGTTATAGCTCAAATGAAAGCTCTTGCCGGTGCTCATTCAGTTCTAGCATTCTTTTTACTGAATTATATTCATATGCCAAACAGTTGTTGAATGAATTGTGGTGTTTCCATGGCGCAGAAGTGTAAACAATGCATTCATGATCAATAAGCAGCCCCAGATAGCACAGACAGCAGTCATCTCTTACCTTATGCTGTGTGCTTCAGGGCCATTCTCCTCTGTTTTTGAGTTGATGTGCATAAGTAATCCTTTTATATGTCTGATGTGGTCCAAACACAGGGAATTATGTTTGATCAAACAAAAGAATAGTGAAAAATGTAAACAAGGATCGGTCTCTGTGGCTTGTACAGCACCTCTCATCAGTTGGAATGCAATAACTTTTGCATAGATTATGGTAGAGACATTTTTCTTTTTTCCTATGATTACAGACATATGCAGGAAACACCAAAATTAATTACAGCACGCTAGACCACACACAACCTAAAAGGTACACTTTCACATTTGAGTTTATAAAAAAAAAATTACAAAAAGCGCCTCTTTTTTAGGTGTTTATTATAACACAGACGACATATACAGTTATTTTAAACACTTTCAATAGTGTTTTATGAAAATTCAAAGAGTTTTCTTTAAAATGATATCAAATGTTTGCATTTACACCTCTGCATGTAGATTTGGGAAGCTTTTAAATTTGGGTAGGCAAAATCCAGGTGGAAATCCCCATATAGCAGCAGAGTTTAAGTGGTTAATATTGTTTAGATCAGCTGTAGTTTGAAAATACGCTGTTTTTAATCTTCTAAGAGCTTATTATGCGGTCTCTGTCGCCATCTTATGGATGGACAACGCCAACCATCTTTGCTCTGCTCAGCGTGACAGGCTGATGGATGTCGACGTGCTGTATCTCCGAAATTATAAATATTTAAAATAGGCACTATCCTTATGAATAAACTGCATAGTTGCAATCTAAACAACTACATTATTGCCTAAATAAGCCTCAAAAGTAAATTATGTTGTCCAACAGCTGCAATATTAGTCAAACTGTAGTGAGTCTATTGATCTGCTGCCACTATGTGGGCAGAGTAATACACAAGGGTGAAGAGGCCATACGAGTGCTGTTACTATAGGAATAATGCACGGCTATCAGCCAATTACATACGAGAACCAGACAGGAGTACAATACAGAGACGGACACATCCACACACACAGACAAATCTACACACAGACAGCGACTCGCACAGACACACACACGGGCAGGAAGTCTTATGATGAACTGCCGCCTGAAGTGTTTTCATTAAGCAGCACGAGTGTGTTTTCTGGAAATGTATAGAAAGTGAAATGTTTAAAGGACCTCGCCTTGAGCACAAACAGATGAACACACTTCAAACACCTCATGTGTGTGTGTGTGTGTGTGTGTGTGTGTGAGATCCCTTCATTCAACATTTAGAGTTTACATCTGTCAGAACTGTTCCTCATTTGATGATTCTACTATTGAAGCCAAAACACACAAACGCAATTACTCACAATCTAGAAACAGCATGTGACACACCACCATGAGTGTAGTCTGTGTATTTTGTGCTCGCGGCCTGCATGTGTGCGCACATACATTGCAGTGTGTTTGACAATCGTCTGGGTTTTTGGCTCCGGGTCATGTTACTGTAGCAGGATGTGCCACATTCAAACAACAGAGGTGGGAAAACAAGCACATGTGACGCGTGGAGGACTGACTCAATGTGACGCTTACTGTCACACACACTCATTCACTCACTTATGATCAGCATTAGGAATTAGGGAACTGTTGTTTCTGAAAGCAAATCTGGCTTCATATAATGACATGTTGTTGCTGTGAGGTTGCTGTTGTGTTCTGGGTGGTTACTAGGGCACTGTACGATGGTTGTGGCTGTTGCCGGGTGTTTTTTGTTTGTTTGTTTTGTGTGCCTCAACTAGCATGCAAACTTGGCTTGCAAACCCTGATAGGGTGTTGCTATGAGGTTACTACTTTGTTCTGGGTGGTTACTAGGGCATTGTAAGATGGTTTTGGGTGTTTTATTTGTTGTTGTTGTTGTTTTGTGCACCTCAACTCAAATGCAAAACTGGATTTTTACAATAACAAGGTTTTGCTATAGGATTGCCATTGTGTTTTGGGTGGTTACTAGGGCATTGCAATATGGTTTTGGGGCATTTAGTTGTTGTTTTGTGGGCCTCAACTCACATGCAAAACTGGATTTTTACCATTGCAAAGTGTTTGCTATAAGGTTGGTATTGTGTTTTTTGGTGGTTACAAGGGCACTGTAAGATGGTTTTGAGTCTTGTCGGGTGTTTTTTGTTTGTTTTATGTGCCTCAATTTGTATGCAAATTTGGCTTGCAAACCCTGATAGGGTGTTGCTATGATATTGCTATTGTGTTCTGGGTGGTTACTAGGGCATTGGTCTTGGGTGTTCTAGTTTGTTGCTGTTGTTTTGTGAGCACATGCAAATGAGTTTTTTTTAATGGGAAGGTGTTGCTATGAGCTTGCTGTTGTGTTCTGGGCGGTTACTAAGGCATTGCAAGACAGTTTTGGGGTGTTTTAGCTTTTAGTTTTTTGTTGTGTGCTTCAACGCAGATTTGGCTTGCAAACCCTGGCAAGGTGTTGCTATTAGGTTACTATTGTTTTCTGGATAGTTATTAGGGCACTGCAAGATGCTTTGGGTGTTTTATTTGTAGTTGTTGTTTTGTGTGCCTCAACTCACATGCAGATTTGGCTTTATACAATAACAAAGTGTTGCTATAAGATGCTATTGTTTTCAGGGTGGTGGCTGGGGCATCGCAAGATGGTTTGGGGTATTTTATTGTTTTTTGTTGTTGTTGTTGTCCAGAAACATCCGCGGGACTACATTTTCAGAATAAGCTTGGGTTGAAAACGTCCCTTACCACAAAACTGCATTGTTGGAAAGAGAAAACACACAGTACAGTTGGAAGTGTATCATGCATTCATAACCTTTTTTTTGTGTTTGTTTGTTTTTTTGTTGCCATTCACTGACAATTAGACAGGCTCATCCAGTTCATCAAACTCCATCTTTTAAAATCTGAATCGGAAATGGAATTAACCAGTCTCCTCTTTAAAGCTGGCATATCAGCGCGGAGTTGCAATAAAAACATGATTCGATTCACACCCTCTGATTGTTTCCCAAAACATAGTGGCTTTTGCTGTCAAAGGCAAGTGGCATTTAGAGGCTTTTGCCAACAAACTGTTGTTTCTGAATGGGTGGACGCTGCGATTTAGATGATTTCAAGCAAAACGTGCCTAAAGCATTCGCTAAATGTCATTAGCTCATTTTTGGCGGAAGAGACGTTTAGCAGCTTTTGCATCTAAACCAGGATCACGTTCCTGGAGGTACGGTGCCCTGCAGGGTTTACCTCCAACTTGCCCCAACACACCTGCCTGGGTGTTTCAAGTATGCCTTATAAGACCCTGATAAGCTTGTTCAGGTGTGTTTGATTAGGGTTGGAGCTAAAATCTACAGGACTCCAGACCTCCAGGTACAAGTTTGGTGATCCCTAATCTAAACCCTTCAACTGGACTGCCTAAAGTGCATACATAAGGAAAATAGAATAAGGAAATATCCGTTGCAACATCAAGCAGCACAAAGAGCTGGTTTTAACGTCTAAAAAAAATGGAAGTGAATGAGAGCGAATGTTTCGAGCCAAAAAGATTCCAATGGCTGTGCCCAGCCCACTCATACATCAAGAATAAGGTCAATAGAGTACCCATAATTAAACTCTTTGGTGCCCTAGCCAAACTGATTCACTGAATTCTGGCGGGTGAACATACGCATAGGTAAACTTTGGATTTGTATGCTGCTTTCACACCAGATGCGGAACACGCAGATAAATCGCGATATTCGCGCGTAAATAGCCACGTGAACATTTGAGTTTACTCACTTCATTCGCGCGTCAAATCCGCTTCATTCGCAAGTCAAAATCAATTCAGAACAAATGCGGATTTGAGTGATGGGCAGGGCTTCGGTCTGCCCGGTGACTCTAGCTTCATTGCTAAATGGCTAACATGGATTTTATGAAGAAAATAACAG